GAATCTTCTTGACCCAGGGATTGAACCTGCGTCTCGTGTCTCCTGCACTGGCAGGTGGATTCTTTACCACTAGCACCACTTGGGAAGCCCAAATGCAAGCTTGGACCTCCACAATGTTTAAAACCAAACCAAATAAAGGAAGCAAATTCTCTTTCCTTTATTCCTGAGAAATCTACCAGAGTCACCTTCTCTGCCTACCCTCTCATTAGCTGCCTTCTTTCTTCTCTTCTTAATCCCTTGTTCAGGATGACTGTAGGAGTAAGACAATAGATCCACCACTCCTCTGAGAGTGCTGGGTCACCAATGACACCCTCACCGCCAAAGCCATCAGCCTTACTGCAGACCACGCTTACGTGCCTCTAGAGCAGTGCTGGCCAGTGGAACCTCCTGTGATGCTGGCGGTGTGCTATTTTCTGTCTCCCAGTAAAAGAGTCATGGCCATGTATGACCATGGTATGTTTAAAATGTGGCCAGTGTGACTGAGAAACTGAAATTTTATTTCATCTTGGTTAATTGAAGTGTAAATAGTCACACATGTGGCTTGTGGCTGGTATATAAGGTCAGCTCTAGTTCTTGCCCTGTTGCTTCTGTCCATTTCTTTCTGGAATCCCTGTTTTTCTTAGCCTTGGTGGCACAGCATTCTTCTGGCTTTCTGTTAGCTCCTCTCACTCCTGTGCCCACTAAAACAGCACCCCCGAAGGGTGTATGTTCACTCTCCGCCCTCTTCTCTTGAGTTCTGAGTGTAAGACATGTGGACGTGACCTTCAGCACTTTCTCTAGCCCTCATTCTTCTTGCTGGCTTCAGACCACTCTTTCCAGCCGAAGCCTGGGGCTGCCACGTGGGTGTTCTGAAGCCAGTCACCTTGAATTGACCATGACCCTAGCTGAAATCACTATCATTTCCACATCCACTAGCCCGCTCCCCTCCCTCTGGCTCGACTGTTTCCTCTGACAACCGTTGGCCTTTCCTCTCTGGCATCACCGGTGACACGCATCCTTCTCGGTGTCGTTCACTCCCTCACTCTTGTGGAGTCTTCACATTCCTCTTGCACAGCCCTCTGCATTCATTCTCGAGGGCTTGCCCTCTTTTAATGATTCTAAAAGCACATGCTGCTGAAAATTTGCTACATTCAGAAAAACATGAACAGAAAAGAAAACTTGCCTGTGATCTGAACCACCCGGAGACCCATCTACATTTTTTATTTTTGCAGGGTCGGGGGGGGGGGGGAGTTGCGACTTCTCACATGTAACCTCTCGTAACCTCTTGCCTGGATTACTGTGGCTCTGAACCCTCAGTGTCTCCCCAGTCTAATCCACTGCTATTTCCCCAGGCATGAGTCTGATCATGTCATTCTTCTATTCCGCTCGTAAATCTCCAGAGGCACCCAGTTGTCTGTTGAATTAAATTTGTCCCCACTGATGAGGCATCACGCCAAGCTGACCTCCGCTTTCCTAGCTTTCGATGGCTCCGTATAGGAAAGGTTACTGACATAACACAACAAGAAACACGCTCAAAGCAGGAAGTCATAGTGTCAGTTTTGCTTGTGACTATGTACCTGTTTAATTTGGCTTACATTTATTAGTCATTTTTGTTTCCACTCTTTTTTTTCTAGAAAACAAAACTTCAAAGTCATTACCTTTTAGATTGTGGTAGACAGCTGTATTGTACCAAATTTCACTTTTTTCAAAATAAAAAAATGCTTTTTCCCGTATTATCATAGTACCTAAGATAGTTGCTATTTTCAGTTCTATGTGTATTTTCTAATTATTCAGCAGAACACCTTATAGGTTTATTTCCTTTCTTGTGCCCTTGGAGAGGACTCATACCCAAAGCTGAGAAACACCGGCTCTCTCTGCCCAAGAAACATCATTCCTGCTGACTCTTCATACCTTGAGTCAATTCAAGCTGAATCAATAAACATGGATTGCACTAGAAGAAATGGATTCTTCCATGGGCTGAAGATCTTCTGGATGTTCTTAGAAGTTGGGGTCTTTCTAGCAAATGAAATCTGGTCCCTTGACAAAAGGCCATGTTGTTTGTGTCTTGAGCACCCAGAAGAGTTGACCCTGGCCTGGCCAATGACAGTGACACATAGCTCACTTGCTCTCTGAGCACTGGCGTAGCTGTAGCCTCATCGATGTTCAGGAGGTTTTGTCCAGCAGAAGAAGGAGGACAACTTCATCGAGTTTTGTTTGGTGGCCTGAAATTTAATCTTGTGCTTATTGCGAATGGATCTAGCCCTTAATGAATTCTGTCCTTGGCTCTATCTTATTTATCTTCTAACAGCTCCCTGGCACATAGTAAGCAATTAATAAATGGTTGCTATTATTAGGATTATGACTAAAGAGAGGTCTCCACAAACAAATTCTTTGTTGCTGTCTTTTCTCCTGCTCCAGACTGAGGTTCCCAGCTGCCCACTGAATGTCATACACGTTTGCATCTTTGCCTGTGCCATTGTAGGTTCTGCCAAGCATGCCTTTCCATCCTCTTCTCCTCTTATTAAAATCCTATTCACACATTTCAGGCCAGGCAGATGCCTCTTCCTGGCATGAAACTTCCTTCGTTGGAGCCGGTTGCCTCTTCCTCTATGCTCTGTGTGGTTTCCATGTACCACTCGCTGCCCTGTGTAGTAAGCTGTTATCTTGGAGTGACTTCAGTTTTTTTACATATCCATCTCTGAATTCCTCTTTTGAAGGTGGTGGAGACCATTCATAACATTTACGATGCCCACTGTGGTAGCTATCATAGAACCTTGTGTGTAGTTCAGTTAATCCATGTTTGTCTGGATTAAGCTACGATAGAAACTGCAAAGCCACCAGCTCTTCACCGGACATTTTCTGTAAGACTGGAGCGAGGCCTACTTGCCCTAGCTGCACATTCTGGAAACATCTTCACTGTTCCGCTGCTGGGCTCTGGGCCGCTATAGACTTTGGGCTTGGGGGCAAACAAATGACTTGGATGTTGGACTCCAGCCTGTTGAATTCCTTGCTGTATTTGCAGAAATTTCTAAGAATCATAATGATAATTCTCAGAATTACTGTTACTATGGTCAAAAGTCAGAGGTTCCTATTTCCTTTTAGGGTCCTGCAAACTACTTCTTTTCTCAAAAATGAAATGATAAAGAGAAGAGGAATGATTCTTATACATGTAATTTGCCTTTGCTTTTGTGAAAGGGAGAGCCGTGAAACAGCAGGTTTCTGAATGCTTTGGTTTCCAAGAATGCTGGAGTGGGTTGCCATGCCCTCCTCCAGGGATTCTTCATTTGGAGGATTGAGCCCAGGTTCCCTGCATTGCAGGCAGATTCTTTACTGTCTGAGCCACCAGAGAAGCCCCTATCTGTAAAATAGAGAAGATAATTGTACCCAATTATCTGTAAAATTGTACCCCCAAATCTGTGAAGTTAATATGACCAACCTAGACAGCCATTAAAAAGCAGAGACATTACTTTGACAACAAAGGTCCATTTAGTCAAAGCTATGTTTTTTTCCAGTAGTCATGTATGGTTGTGAGGGTTGGATCATAAAGAAAGTTGAGCACTGAAGAATTGATGGTTTTGAGCTGTGATGTTGGAGAAGACTCTTGAGAATCCCTTGGACTGCAAGGCAATCAAACCAGTCAGTCTTAAAGGAAATCAATCCTGAATATTCATTGGAAGGACTGATGCTAAAGCTTAAACTCCAACACTTTGGCCACTTGATGTGAAGAACTGACTCATTAGAAAAGACCCTGACGCTGGGAAAGATTGAAGGCAGGAGAAGAAGGGGATGACAGATGATGAGATGGTTGGATGACATCACCGACTTGATGGACATGAGTCTGAGCATGCTCCAGGAGTTGGTGATGGACAGGGATGCCTGGTATGCTGCAGTCCATGGGGTTGCAAAGAGTTGGGCACAACTGAGCAACTGAACTGAACTGTAATTGTACCCACAGTCACAAGATCTTGTGAGGGTTAAATGAGTTTATACATATAAAGTGTTCAATAGCGAGGCTTTTATTATTACTATAATATATATATGCTCAATAAATGCTAGCAATTTTTATTTTGTTACTGCTGATATGCTGATGAACTTGTCTAATAAATAATCTTTATGATATTGCCAGCATTAAAGAGATAAATTTTTAAGTTCACCTAAGCTACTTTTCAGCCTGAAGAGATTTGAGAAATAGTTTAACAATCTCAAATCTCTTTTTCTTTTAGTATCAACTTTATAATACTTTATAAATTCATTTTCATATGGAGCCATCCTTGCCTTCCACATATACATAGCATTGGGTTTATTGTAGCATGTTAACAACTTGGTTGATGTTCACAGTTGACTGCAGGTACTAAATAATAAATGAATTTGTTGTTCAGTCACTAAGTTGTGTCCAACTCTTTGTGACCCCATGGATTACAGCACACCAGGCTTCCCTGTCCTTCACTGTTTCCTGGAGTTTCCTCAGATGAATGTCCATTGAGTCCATAATGCTATCTAACCATCTTTTCCTCTCTCATCCCCTTTTCCTTCTGCCCTCAATCTTTCCCAGCATCAGAGTCTTTTCCAATGAGTCGGCTCTTCACATCAGGTGGCCAAAGTATTGGAGCTTCAGCTTCAGCATCAGTCCTTCCAATGAATATTCAGGGCTGAATTCACTTAGGATTGACTGGTTTGATCTCCTTAAAAATAAGTGTGAATGGAAAGGGATAAACCTACTTCTTACTCCTGCAGTGCTGTAATTCTTGAGGGCCTAAAATTCCAGTTACATGGTTATTATAAAGCAATGAGTCTAACAATGCTTTTCTCTCTGTCTCACATTTCAAAGGAACATGTGTCCAAAGGGCCTTCTTCTCCCCTTGATGATCTTGACATTGTCACTTTACACCCAAGTGCAAAACTGTGACAATACCTCCTGCCCCAGCCACCAGAAACATAGAAGCGCATCACAGTAGAAAAGGGAGAATGGCCCCTTTGTGGTGACTGGCTTGGAATTATAAATATTTTTACTTCTCCCATAGGAGATGGCTCGTGGAAGAGAGGAGACAAACACGACTTTGAAGCTAAGCAAGCGTACTCATCCCTCCAAACAATCACTCTACTGAGGACAGTGAAACCTGAGTTTGAGAAGTTTTCCATGGAGGTGAAAAGTTCTGTTGAGAAGCAAGGGCTCAGTGAGGAGGATTACGTAAGTGCTTGATTAGGAGCCTAGACCTTCAGCATCCCCAAAACAGTTGTTGAATTAAATCAGATGTGATAAAGCATCCCGTTCTGAATCATTCAAAGATTCCTAGGTTCAGGTCTGAATGTCACTGTGGCTCTGTGTGTGTGTTTTTTTTTTTCTTTCCTGGCCAACTTTCCTCTCCTCCCCATTGGGCCCCCATCACCCCACCCTTCACTTAAACTTTTCCAACTGCTACAGGAAGAGAAATTGCTTTCTGTACTTTGTGGTCATGCTAAGCAGAGGTCTGAAGACTTCCCTCACCTCTTCTGCTAGCAGCATGTTGGGAGAGAAGACAGATGAAGGATTGCCAAAGTTTGGCATGCCTAACTTTTCCAAAGCTTGGTGGAGGGAGGTATTTTGGGTTTTAGAAGGCTCCTTCTTTTGGCAATCTGTCTTAGCTTTGTGGCCCGCCTGCTTCTCTCGCTTGTGGCCCTGTCGTTGCCTCTTTCCGCTGCGGGCTGTTTCCTACTGGAGTATTCCAGAGCATCCCACTTCATTAGTGTGGTTGTTACTCATGCGTCTTCAAAGATGCATCTTCCAGCTCTGGCTGGAATCTAGAGCTCAGGCCAGGCTCAGGATTAAGCAGCAGGACTTTTCACTGTGTGATCCAGGGTAAATTCCTCAGTCTCCCTCATTCAGATGAGGGTGGGAGGATCATAGATAATCTAGCTGAAGTCTTTATCACTGTCTGGTCAAAAAGTTGAAACTAAATGAATGGTGCCTCTTTTGTACTATTGCCATAAGCTCATACTCGTCTTTGTAGGAATTTGCTATCCAGTGACATACAAAGGGTCTTATAAATAGATATTAATGTCTTAAATGCCATATACATACATGTATATAACACATCATTTAAAATATCTTTTGATTTTCTAAATCAGCACTGTCTTCTAGATATGTAACGTAAACCACAAGCGTAATTAAAAATTTTTTGGTAGTCACATGTGAAAAAGTTAAAATCAGGTGAAATTAATTTTAACAATACATTTTATTTCATATATATAAAAATATTTCAACATTTAATCAGTGTAAATTATGATTGAGATTGTATATATTTTTTCTTATATAAAGTCCAGTATGTATTTTGCCCTTGCATGCTAAGTTGTTTCAGTCATGTCTGACTCTTTACAACACTTTGGTTTGTAGCCCACCAGGCTCCTCTGTCCATGGGATTCTACAGGCAGGAGTGCTTGAGTGGGTTGCCATGCCGTCTTCCAGGGGATTTTCCCAACTCAAGGATTGAACTCGCATCTTTATCTTGTGCATTGGCAGGCAGGTTCTTTACCACTAGCACCACCTGGGAAGCCCATTTACCCTTACAGAATATCTTAATTCAGCTAAAGTACTTGACCAGTGGCTGCCATATTGGACATCATGGTCTGAATTATGAAAGAAGTAGGGTTTCTGTAATAGAGAAGGGGCTTCCCAGGTGTCTCAGTGGGTAAAGAATTTGCCTGCAATGCAGGAGATGCAGGAGACCCGGGTTCCATCCGTGGATTGGGAAAATCCTTCGTTGTACTGACTGCAACACAGTAGTTACATTTGGGAAAGCTACCTCACCTCCCAGGCTTCCCTGGCGGCTCAAATGGTAAAGAATCTGCATGCAATGAGGGAGACCTGGGTTCCATCCCTGGTTTGGGAAGATCTCCTGGAGAAGGTCATGGCAACCCACTTCAGTATTCTTGCTTGGGGAATCCCCATGGACGGAGGAGCCTGGTGGGCTATAGTCCATAGGGTTGCAAAGAGTCAGATATGACTGAAGCGACTTAGCACTCTGTAATAGAGCCCAAGTTTTTTTTTATAGAAACCTATGATAGTTTTGTCATCATCAGAATCCTTTGCCCCAGGAATATGGAAGGACACAAATGGCATCATGATTCCTTTAGTAGTTCTGCCAGAGGTGGTCTGTGTCAATATTGAAAACATCCAAGTCTTTTACATATGCCATTATAAGTTAGTTTGGTTTACTAAATTCATATTAATTTTCTGCTTCATATTAAAAACTCAAAACTGGTGTCATCTTGTCTAATGACAAATTTTGTCTTCTTCTTGAAGTTGTTGAAGTTCAAATATTTCAGTGTAGGTTGGCCAACATTGATGATATTCAGTGGGTGAAAGTTGGCATTCCAGTGCTCCACCAGGTATATCTTCTTGATCATTAGTTATCCTATGTTCAGAATATTAAATCTTATTTTAATGTTGAAGTGAAAGTGAAAGTTGCTCAGTCATGTCCGACTCTTTGCAACCTCATGGACTATACAGTCCATGGAATTCTGGAATGGGTAGCTGTCCCCTTCTCCAGGGGATCTTCCCAACTCAGGGATTGAACCCAGGTTTCTATTTTAATGGTAGTCTGGGTAAAATCTTCCTGAAAGGTGTACCTACTACAGAGATCCAGAATACATTCCAATCAAAGACTGCTGCTTTAGAGATTATTTGTAGTTGTAGATTATACCACTGTTTTTCTTTGATAGTGGGTTCATTAAAACAGATTTTATTTATTTTTTTGATACTTAGCGTTGGTGTTTATTTATTTTTGCCACACCATGCAACATGTGGGATCTTAGTTCCCTGACCAGGGATTGAACCTGTGCCTGATGCATTGGAAGCTCTAAGTCTTAACCATTGGACCACCCTGGATCTTATAAGTAGATAAAAATTATAATGTTAAGTAGATAAAAATGATAATGTTAAGTAGATAAAAATGATGATGTAAAGTAGAAATAGGAGCTCCTCCTAGTGACTTTGTCTTTCTAGCTATGTGTGTTTTAGCTGTGCTCTCTTGAGTGTCATTGCAGATGTTTGTCTGGTTAGTTTAGACAGGTGGTTGTGATGAGTACCGTCAAGGAGGGAGCTATGGGGCCTGTCAGAGGTTAGAGCTTGATTTCCTGCAGGAGATGCTGGCAGACTAGCAAGACATGGTGGTCTTCATCCTAAGGCTCAGCTCTTTCCTGGGTCTGTTTCTCTTGTTTGTGCTAATGGGTTGTCTCATCTGCTTACTTGGAACTTCTGTTCGTGACATTTGTCATGAGTTTTGCAGTCCTGGCTATTGATCTCAAACCCAGCAACTTTGGTGGACTCTCTTGATTACTTCTGAATTTTTACTGTGCATTTCCTAAGCAGTCACCCGAACTGTGAATGCTAACAGTTTTGTTTCTTTCTGATTCTTCTTCCTTTAAGTATGCTTAAGAGCATACTTAATTACATAAGTATTCTGAATTAAAATGAAGTAAAGTTAATTGAATAAAAACCTTCAAGGATACTGGCTAGGATCCCAAAGCAGTATTGAATATAAGTAGTGGTAGTGGGCGTCCTTGCCTTCTTCTTAACTTTAAAATGAAGAGTGTACCCGGGAGAATATTTTGGCAAGATCTTTCAAAGTTCAAAGGCACATACTTAGCAAATTTGTATCTAGGGATTTATCCTTTAGCGATGTAAAGCCCTTGGAACAATAAAGCAGGTGCTGAAATATAAGCACTGGCATTATAATTGTACCAAGTATTCACTGCAGCATTATATGTTAGGGCTGACAACTGGAAACAGTCTAATTAATTGCCCATCAATAAGGGACTATTTATATAAATTATATGTATGCAATGGGATAGGATGAAATTATGAAAAATAAGGACAAATCTCTGTGTACTTGGTGGAAAAACCAGCGTGATATGTTAAATGATAACAGCAAAGTACAGAATAGTGTGTAAATAGTTAAAAAAAAAATGAAGAGCCTATAACACATTTCATATCTGCTCATATCACCATTCAAGTGTGATTTTGGGAAAGAGTGGAAGTTTATTTTTATATTATATTTTATTTATCTTTTATTTTTATTTGTTGGTGAGTTCTGTTTTGGCAAAATGATGCCCTTTATTAGGATAACTGAGATAAAAATAGAACAGAAAACATCAAGATCCATGTAATGTAGATTAAGGAAAGGACCTGGAAACAGATTATTTTTTATTGAAGTATAGCTATTTGCAATGTTATATTATTAATTTCTGATGTACAGCAAAGTGATTCTGTTAAGTGTTCATAGAGCTTCTGTTATATATGTTATATATATATATACACACACATTCATTTTCATATTCTTTTTGATTAAGATTCCACAGGATACTGACTATAATTTCCTGTGCTATAGAGTAGGCCATTGTTGTTTATCCAGCCTATATATAATAGTTTGTATCTACTCATCCCAAACTCCCAGTTCCACTCCCCTACCCTTCCCATGGCAAACACATCTCTGTTCTCTATGACAGGACACACATTTTCATGGTAGGCATTATAAACTGATATCCCTGACTCCATGTTATGCATATTAGCATTGTGGTTGTCATAGTGGCATGTAGTTGGCATCTTTGGAAGGCTTGTGATCTCAAAATGCAAAAATTTGAAGCTTTAAAAATTTTATAAGGCTATATTTAAATATTGGAAGGATGGAGTGGCAATAAAATAAAATAATTATTATAAATTTAAAATAAAATTATTTTATTTTATTTTAAAAATAAATAAAAAATTTTAAATAAAATTATTATTATATATTTTAAACTTACCAAATTTTATTATCAATGTGATTGTTTCTCCCCTCTCTCTTTTTCTCTCTTTCCTTCTCTCTCCCTCCCTTCATCTCCAACTCTTGCCTTCTCTTTTTTTAAAGTGACTTTTTAATTGAGATAAGAGCAAATTTACATGCAGTTTTAAGATGCAATACAGAGATATTCCTTATATATAGTGCTTAGTTTTCCCAATTGGTAGCATTTTGGAAAATTTCGTGCATGATCACAACCAGGGTATTGACACTGATAACAAGGCACTGATTTGACTCAAATTTTCTCAATTTTATTTGTAATTATGTGTGTATATACACATGTGTTGGTATAAGTTCTGTGCAATTTAATCACCTGTGTAAGCTGAGGTGATTAAATTTTATTAAATACCTTTTCTACGTCTGTTGAAGTAATCAT